CGCACCAGCTTGTAACCCACCCCACTGTCAGCCTGGCAGTGGGACTGGGTTACAAGGTGGTGATGAGCGCAGTGGGGTGGAGAAAGCAGCTCCTCCCAGCCCTGTGCATGGCGCCCAGCGCTGCAGCCACTCGCAGCTTGCCTGGAGCTGCCTGTGCCTGCTCGGGACAGCCCCACGTGGGCTGCAAGCAGCTGCAGTAGGGAGCACCAGCCATGGGCGGGCGAGGGGCCATTTTCCTCCATGCCAGGAAGGAGCAGGTGAATGGATGTTTACAGATTCCAATGTTGGATTTAGGCACCTCAAACCCACCTAAATCCTGTTTTAAGAGCTTAACTTCTTTACTGGATCTAGCCCGAAGATTCTCAAAGCTAATTGCGAGCTGCACGCAGCTGCAGCTTGGGGCACTGGGCGTGGGGCGGGGAGGGGCCACTTCCCCTCCCTGCCCCCGTGTTCCTTCCCTGGCTGGGGTCTCCGCCCCCGCCACTTACCTGAACTTTTCACGCTGCGGCAGCCATGTGCTCCCAGCCCAGAAAGGCTTCTGGCTGGGGGACGGGGATGGGCACCCCACTGTTGTTGGAGCCTGCCGGGCTTCCCCTGGGTCCTACTGCCCTTGGTTCCTATCATTTTTGACAGGAACCAAGAGCAGAGAAATATTAATTTTCTACATTTTTTTTAGGGGCCCCGCAGGCCGGATAGAATGGCCTCACAGGCCGCGCATCCAGCCTGCAGGCCGTATTTTGCCCACCCCTGGTCTATAAACACAAACATTCAAAAAGTTTAAGTTGAGCTGATACCCTGTTTCATAAATTTCTTGGACCACAAGGTTCAGGCAGCAATACCGATCTGAGAACACTGAAGATGGACACAGACTCATACCGCTGAGCTTCCTCACTTATGGCCACTTGTGATACTGCTAAAATTTCCTTTTTATTTAGTTAATTTTATATTTACTGACCATTTTAAAAAGCTAAAATACATAAAGGATGACATGGTCTACTATGGTCTCACTACGTTGAGCTTTATCAAAATATTTTGAATCTTAGATTGACTCACTAACATAACTTTTAGAAAACAGTGCCGCTATGAAATAACCACTTGTGTATATGTAAGTGCACACAAAGTATTTACATTGAAATGTGTTTAAAATAGTTCATCCATGAAATAAGTTCTCATTCTTGCCATTCTGACTGCATTAAGTAAAAGCTTTCATTCATGGAGGAAGCCAATATTTCCTCTACAAGTCTCTCTACACATGCAAAGAATTTTACAGCATCTCGTGCACTTCTTAATACAGGTGCAAGTTATAGATAAACAAAGAATTTTTAGGGTGGAATATCTGTATGCTTAAAAAAATATTTTATTACTTGTCACAATTCAGTTAGAAACATGGGCTAGTTTTACTATATCTCACCTTGCAGAAATATTTCTGGATTAACCTTGGTACATCAATAACATGACTGTGTACACAAACATTTTCTGTTTTATCACCTACATACATACATATGCATAGATATCCATTTGATTTTTTACATCTTTTTAAAAACTATATTTATCTTGTAATAAACACCAGGTACCTTAAAAATGTAGCAGTACTTCCATTTCATGCCTAACCATCTATTATTTTCTTATGGTGAATCAGCATTAAAATTTACTTTTCAGCATCTGCAAAAACTGAGTGTTCAGTACTCAGCAAGATGCGCCAAATAAAAGGAAATCCTAGACAATAAGAAATCCTATATTTACCTAAAAATCCCCAATATTGTAAGCATAACAGTACTATATATCTTGAGTATTTTTAACTGAAAGAGAGGGCATTCATAGAACTTTTTCATTATTTGTATATTATGCAGTAAAATCTAACTTGTGGAAACATCTTCTAGCCGACCATACTTTCTACCAATACTGCATTACTGCAAAGTCACTTGTCTCTGTAAATAAGCTGGAAATTCTTAAAAACTATAAAAATGGTTTAAGTTCTTTCAAAAAAATATTTTTTTTAAGTGTAAGAGATGTTCAGCCTTTCTAAGCTTCTATGTTTGATGAAAACCTATATTTTCTTATTTTAAAGGGGGAAAAGAAATCTCACATTTTCTTAACAGCTGTTTTAAATTGAAACTACATGAGTTTAGACATCTGAACTGGCCCTGAATAAAGACAGCATACTTTTATTTGTTTAAGAAATCTTTTGGATTATCAAAAGGAATTAGGTTTTCTTACAAAATTAAGATCGGAGACCCAAATTATCCCTACACTGGGTTTAATACATATGCATCCTGGCAGACAAACCTTTATCTGAGGGAGTCCCTGAATCATATTTCTTGTTCACTTTTACATTTAAGAGGCAGGGATCTAGTGGTAATTGTGCTATCTCCAGAGTGACAGATTTCACATTTTCTGCACTACTGAGCACACACTATACATACAACTACTAGAGTACCATGCTGACTGGATAAGCCCTTTCAACAGTATTACCACTACAACAATGATGAAAATGGTACAGTAGTTTTCTTGGTGTGAAAACTTGACATGGTTTCATTAACAAAATGAAATATAACAAAAGCAACAGAGCCAGTAAAGCTTACATTATGGTATAGAAAGGAAATCGTACAAAATAGGGCTGGAAGGGATCTCAGGAGGTCATCTAGTCCAACCCACATTCAGGGCAGGATCATCTCTTCAAAGCATCTAGTGTTTGTGAATATCTTTCCATTTCACTTACTCTTGAGGTACTAGCCCAATCCACTTAGAGCATTACAATTCAGGAATTATAATAATTTAAACCTCATAATAGAGAGTATAGTATCTGTCTAGATAGCATATATGTTGGTCTCCTGTTACAGAACATACAACAAAGGAAACTAGTAGTTTTAATTGCAGACATATAAACCTATAGTACCAAGACTGGTTCATTAAGATATTCAAGCAATGAATTTACTATTTGTTGCTGCTAACTACAGCACAAGACTATTCCCCTGCAGGCATCTCCTAAACATCTGTGTCATGGAACTAGGCTCCTGAGAATGGAAAATGGAAGTGGCAGGTCGGTGCCATATTTATAAAATCAATTACATTTAACAAAAAACACGAACCAAATACATCCTACAAATCTTACCTAAATGAAAAGTGATAAATAAAGCAGTGATAAAAATCTTTGAGGATTTCAGACTTGCTTGAAAGACTGAAATCTCAGTACCAAGAGTCAGGGACAAGACCAAGGCTATGCAAAATTTTGTATAACATTTACAAAATATATTGGAATCTTTAAAAAAATACCTCAGAGGTTTTAATCTTCTATAATATAACTTTGCTGAGACTTGCCATTTCTCTGTATAAAGTAACTATTTAAAACAAACCAAACCCTGTTTTCTTACACACATGGGAAGTCTTTAAAAGACCAAAAGGTATTGTTTTATACTGTATCAGCCTCTTTTGAGTTTTTTAGTGAGTTGCCTTCTTGTTGGCATTGTACCTTATGCGTTGGTGTGGAAAAAAAATTCAGAAGTCAGGTGCCTGTCACTATATGGAAAATAAATTAAGTGGGTAGATGACTGTAATTTAGGCACCTATGCTGATATGTAATGATGAATGTGGCTATATACAACAAGTAGCAGAACATAAAATATGGTCACAAGAATAGCTCGTCTTACTGACAATCTGTATTTTCATTTTATACTCATTAAGCAGAATTTACATTAGCAAGTCTTGAAAAGATGAATGACCATGACCTTGGAAATAATGTGAATTATGCCAATGAGCCTACTGAAGGAAGAATTATTTTATCACTAAACACAAAAAAGCCTGTTATGAAACAAAAGGTATAAACACTGATCTTTAGCATCTGACAAATTTTCAATTTCACAAGCTATTCAGTGAAGAATGCAGTTTAAAACACAATGAAACAAATAGCACAAAAACCCCATTACATCACATTTCATAAAACACAACAGCTGAGCACTCACAAATATTCCCAAAAGTAAAATAAGAACCGGCTAACTAGCATAGGAGCTGAATTCACAGATCAATATACAAATACTGAACAATGTCTCAATGAAAGAACAGGTTTCTTTCTTTTAGTAAAGTATTTTCAACAAGTGCGAATAAATAAGTCCTATACACTAAGCCTCAGCACAAGGCTCCATATTATATGGTTCTCTCTCAGGCTACTACACCAGGATTCCAATTACAAAGACTTACATTACATAAAACCTTTCTGACAACAGTACCTCATTTGTAAAGGGCTAAAAGGTTGGCCCCCAAAAGTAGCCTAATAAGTTGAGTGCAAGGTATTGCTTACATTATTTTTTAAAGATACATATGGGGGAATCTACAATACATTTGTCTAAATCATGAGACACATTAAGAACCTATGAAACTGCAAAAATGTAAAAACATTGAGCAGTAAGAAGCTGGAGCAAAGTAGCTGTGTGCTGGCTGCCACTTTAGTATTTAAAATGTTGCTCCTGTAAAATTAGATGCTTATTAGGAAAAGTTTAGTGTTTTCTCCTATTAACAATTGACATATTACCAGTTAAACACTGACTTCCACAAGAATTTTACAAAAATTGTTTCAAGTATCCTTGTTTATCACAGTGAAAATGTAAGACCAAAATGCAAATGTTTAAGTGAATGATTAAAAGTTTTAGATGAAAAAGGCAAAGGTACTAAATCAAAACATATAAAAATGCTTCAACGCATTTCCTTCATGTGATATGAATAGAAAGGTTATCTGTAAAAAGTTAGAAAAATTAAAATAAGTTACATATTTAAGTACACTTTCCCTTCAACGTTTTATATAAAAAGTCAGAATAGTGTACCATTTGAATATACACAGAGTAAAAATGCATGGGTGCTGCAGTCATCTTTTCTACATGTCTTCTCAGCAGAATGCTTGTTGCAGCTATTTCATTTATTTAAGACCATCTTCAGAAATCTCTCAGTATACCCAGCTAATTGGGACCCACTGTGGCTCCAACCTTAATTTCTCTATAGCAGTCTGTAGTTTCTCAAAGGCTTTGTCTAGATTGTCATTTACAATGGTCAGATCAAAATAGTGGTTGTATGCTCTCTGAATCCGGGCGCTTTCATCTACTGTTTTTTTCAAATCAGTGTCCTGTGAAAAACATTTGAAACCAATTAAAATCTATAACATGGGCAAGCTGCTACAAGTTCATAAAAAGATAACAGTAACATCAGTTTGTCAAGCACTGCAACTCGCTTCTAATTTTAGCTGTAATACTGAACAAGCAAAAGTTCATGTATTACAAATATAAAAGTTCATGTATTACAAATATACATAAAAGCTTAATTTAAAATATTTTGAGGGAGATGAAAAAAGTTCCAATTAAAGTGATTAGATTACTGTTAAGCATTACACCAAAGTTTGTACCCCCTCTTTAGCCAAAGCGCAGAAGGATGTTGCAATTTTGAGCATACACAAGGATTCTCCATGGAAAGACCCTTCCAAATAGTTTCCTGTTCTGCGCAAGCAACTGTCTGTGCACAGGGCGCACAGGTACAGTTCAGGAACAACTGAGGCAGCCAGTTTTAGAAACCTTGTCCCTAAATATATCTGAATTTCAACAGAGACTGCTACAAAAGAAAGAATTTCAATACATGATTTTTTAAAACTCATGTTTCAATATCATGGCATGAACTCTGGAAACCCTTGCTATTTTGGTCTACATTTCACCCAGTCTTTTCATCTGCACACATCCATTTCCTTGTAGGTCGCTACTGCACCTATTACTGCTGACACAATGCGAGCCCTATTTCAAGACTGCAGCCAAAGATTCTGTGGACCAAAGAATAAAGTGCTAAAAAGCCATTGTAGAAGTATCAGACATGGCAGAAGTGTCACTTTGCATCCTTTGTTTTCTACTTCATTAGTCCTGGATTACCCACATATAGCTTTGCCAAGAAAGACATGTCAAATCACTTCTGCATACAGGCAGTTAATAAAAGCCTGTGATCACCACTCAACTGTTCCTTTCCTTAAAAATAGACTTTAAGTCTCAATGTTCCTGTAAATTCACATTTAAAAGCCTACGTTCCCCACTGAGGCTTAATCAGCACTCCCTTTTCAGTTAAATAAGGAAGAAACTTATTTAGTACCCTGGGAATCAGATGGACCAGAAGAAGTAGGGACCTTTGCAAGAGTTATTTATCCTAGAAATAATTAAAAATAATCCATTAATGAACAGAATTGATTCAACCCTCAGAATGTATAGCAGACATTAATTTACTCTGCAAGTGCTGCATGAAGAGATTAAATGGAAACAAATACACGTGCACAGGTGTACACACACACACACACACACACACACACTTTTTGGGTGAAAGCTTGCAAAGAATTTTTCTGACTACTTGAGTTTGTCTAATAAAAGAGATCAGATTTACCCAAAGAACCTTATCTACCTATGTCCTTTGACCAACATGGCTACAACCTACACCCCTGAATAAAGCATGCAATTAAGGATAACCACAAACCTGACAAGGAATACAGTAAAAAGAAGAGCTGGCTCCCACAAGCCATCCTTTAGATCCAGCATGGAATACCAGTTCCCTGCTTTGAGAGCATCATAAGATGCAGAATTAAGGTTTCCATTCAGGAAGAGCACACACCAACTGCTGCAGCTTCCTGAGCCTGACGAAGGGTTTTTGAACCCGAAAGCTTGCTTAATAACTATTCTCCAACCATTTGGGTTGGTCTAATAAAAGATATCAAATTCGCCCAAGGAACCTTGTCTGCCAGAATTAAGGTTGCACATTCTTGTGCACGAGACTCCCTAGTTTGAAAAAGGAAAATCTAATCTGTACAATTTACCAGCACTTAGTCATGAATCATCAGTAGAGTTTGAACCTTGAGCTATCAGTGTTGCAGCACAGACTGCTTGTACCAAAGCTACATAGTAGGGCTGTGTGAAGCTTTGGTCACCGATTTGATTCGGAAAAGATTCGGCCCGATTTGGCAGCCAAACTTCCAAATCCAAATCAAATCGGGAGACCCGTTAAAAGGTCCAAATTGAATCTGAAGCCTCCAAATTGAGAAGATTTGGAGATTCGGATCGGCCAGGGAGAGCCAGGCACACCTGGGCAACTGCAAGTTCTCCTGTGGCTTCTCCGGCTGTGCCTGCCTATGCTCGGGTGGAGGGAGCCACAGGACAAGCCCTGGATGCCCTGCCTGGCCTCCTCTGCCACCTGGCTCCCAGCACTTAAAAAAAAAAGCCCTGCACTTATCGACTGCAGCAGTGAGGATCAGGGCCTGAGAGCTCGTGTCAGAGCCCCCCCATGCAGCTCGGGGGAGTGGGGATCTCCCCTGCCCTCCTGGCATCTGTCTGGCAGCTGTCACATCGTGCAGATGCAGTGCAGCACTGTGTGCTGTCTGGGAGCTGAGGCAGCTCCAGGAATCATCCAGAGCCCGGCACTGCTCAGCCCCAGTGGCCCCAGCTCCCAGACAATGCGCAGTGCCCTGCCAAGCCGTGCTGCACCCACGCCATGGGGCAGGTGCCATGCGGATTCCAGGTTGGGGGGTGATCCCTGCTGCCCTGCGCTGCATGGAAGGGCTCTGCCACGAGCCATCAGAGGCCCTGATCACCACTGCTGCAACCAGTGAGTGTGGGGCTTTTTTATGTTTATTTTTTGAAGCGTCGGGAGGCTGAGGCTGGGCAGGGGATGGGGCCAGCCAGGGCAGCCATGGGAGCTTCTCCCATGGCTCCCCCTGCCCAGGGATAGGCAGGCACAGGAGGAGCCACAGGAGAACCTGCAACCACCTGGCTGTGCCTGCCTCTCCCCAGCTGATCCGAATCGGCGTCAGATATCCAATTCGGATTCGGCCAAATCGAATGGGGACAGAGATTCAAATCACAGAATTGAATTACTGTCCTCTGAATCAGCTGAATCCGAATCTGAACTGAATACTCCCCTGTTCACACAGGCCTACTACATAGCTGTTAACTGGCATCAAGAGGCAGCTGCTTTCTCAGAAGGGAGCAGCAGTAACGGGTACATGCTGCTGAGTCCAAGGAATGGTTAGGGGAAACAGCCCAGGCCAGGCTGCTCCACCAAGCCTCTGGAGTCAGGTGGGGAGAGTTCCTATCTCATGCCCTGGCCCCAACTAGGGGGAACTGGGGTCATATCCTGGGTCCTGGGGTGGCTTGTAATAGCCAGTTCTTTTTCACTTTCCTGGACCTCTAAAAAGGTAAGGGACCTGCTTTTCCTTCTTGGCACCCTTCCTCTTCTACTCTGATAGGTCTGCGCTAATCCCAAATACAGTATGTGTTGCGCCTGTATCAGTGCCATTAGCCTGGCCTCATTTGGCCCACTGTATTACTCAGGGAAGATTTGATGATTTCTACTCTCTCACAATTTAACACTTTATAGATTCATAGATGTTAGGGTCGGAAGGGACCTCAATAGATCATCGAGTCCGACCCCCTGCATAAGCAGGAAAGAGCGCTGGGTCTAGATGACCCCAGCTAGATACTCATCTAACCTCCTCTTGAAGACCCCCAGGGTAGGGGAGAGCACTACCTCCCTTGGGAGCCCGTTCCAGACCCTGGCCACTCTAACCGTGAAGAAGTTCTTTCTAATGTCCAATCTAAATCTGCTCTCTGCTAGCTTGTGGCCATTATTTCTTGTAACCCCCGGAGGCGCCTTGGTGAATAAATACTCACCAATTCCCTTCTGTGCCCCCGTGATGAACTTATAGGCAGCCACAAGGTCGCCTCTCAACCTTCTCTTGCGGAGGCTGAATAGATCCAGCTTCTCTAGTCTCTCCTCGTAGGGCTTGGTCTGTAGGCCCTTAACCATATGAGTGGCCCTTCTCTGAACCCTCTCCAGGTTATCCGATCCCTCTTGAAGTGCGGCGCCCAGAATTGCACACAGTACTCCAACTGCGGTCTGACCAGCTCCCGATAGAGGGGAAGTATCACCTCCTTGGACCTATTTGTCATGCATCTGCTGATGCACGATAAAGTGCCATTGGCTTTTTTGATGGCTTTGTCACACTGCCGACTCATGTTCATCTTGGAGTCCACTAGGACTCCAAGATCCCTTTCCACTTCCGTGCCACGCAGCAGGTCATTCCCTAGGCTGTAGGTGTGCTGGACATTTTTCCTCCCTAGGACATCCACCCCTCCTCCTGTGTCCAGGCGTTTCGTAACCTGGTCATAAAAAGAAACTAGATTGGTCAGGCACGATCTGCCTGCCACGAACCCGTGCTGGTTTCCCCTCAGCATAACTTGTCCTGCCGGGCTCTCACAAATGTGAGCCTTGATAATTTTTTCAAAGACTTTGCCAAGGATGGAGGTGAGACTGACTGGTCTATAGTTGCCCGGGTCGTCCTTCCTCCCCTTTTTAAAAATGGGGACCACGTTGGCCCTTTTCCAGTCCTCCGGGACTTGGCCCGTGCGCCACAAGCGTTCAAATATTCCCGCCAGTGGCTCTGCAATGATGTTGGCCAGTGCCTTCAGCACCCTCGGATGGAGCTCATCCGGGCCTGCCGACTTAAAGGCATCCAGTTCTTCCAAGTGACTCTGCACCATCCTAGGGTCTACGCATGGTAGTCTGGCGCTTTGCTGCTGCCTCTCTACAACCCCAGTGAGAGACTTGTCATGCCCCTCACTTAGGAACACTGAGGCAAAGAACTCGTTGAGGAGTTCAGCCTTGTCCCCTCTGTCCATCACCAATTGTTTCTGATTGAAAATTGCCTTATAAAATTGCCTTATATTTTAGGTAAATCTGAAAAAATGTGGTAGAACAAAGAAAAATAATTTTGGTAACATGAGATAATTCCCAAACATTTTTTTGCTGCAAATAATGGAAATGTGAGCCTCAAAAAGAGGCTATAAAAGATTCCTTCATCATGGAAAGGATTGCTGCCAAGACCCTGGCATTATAAATCCATGTTATTTAAAAATCTATATATTTCCTACTAAGTCTCTGGATCTATTTAAATTACACTTAACTATGTAATCAATCATAAACCATGCCTGCCCCTTCTTTAGTGAAACTAAGATCTTTCTTTTTTGAGTGTAATTTAATTTTGAGTGTAATTTAAATGGAAAAATGTTTAAGAAAAATCTGTTCAAAACAGAATTGTAACTAAGAAAGCATTGGCTTACAGTTAGAAGTTTTGTTGTAATTCCAGCATCCACAACAGCCTTATGCATGGCACGCAGTGTTTCTAACTCTGGAGCAGCAATAAATACGACATAGGGCATAAACTCTGAAGTCCTCAATACTTTCAGGGCCTAGAAACAAAAATATTATTTACTTGAACTAAAAAAAAAAAAAGAAAGATTTGCATTTCTCAGCCACCAAACAGTAAAATATTACAATTCTAGTAGGGTATCATTAACACTTCACTCCTACCCTATCTTTAAAATGTCACTAAGCCAAAAGACAGCTTGAGATCCCCTTTTGAAACTGTCAACACCATTCATACTTTAGCTCAGGGATGTCAAACATCTGGCCTGAAGAGCTATTTTACCCAGCCCACCTGGCTATTGGTGGGTTACCAAAAGTGTGTGCTTGTGTGCATGTGGGGAGGGGGCGAAGGAAAGGGCGGGCACTTGAGGTGCCTGGGGGTGGATCTGTTCATCAGTGTCAGTACAGTCCTTGCTCACCTGACGGCTGCCAGTCTTACTGCTGCTTGTCCTTGCTAGTCCCACCACTGTACCCACCATTGTCCCACCACTATTCTTACTGCCACCTTATGCCTGGATATGGCCCTCAAAAGAGCACTGCAAGTCTTGAGCTGGTGTGGGGCATGGGGTTAGTGTGACCGCTCTTTAGTCCAACACGTTCTGATCAGCGATGCAAAACACACTCTGATTTAATCCTTCACAAAGTCTGACCCAGCCCTATAACCTCTTCTAGCTCCAAGTGGCAGAGATTTAAAAAAAAAGGAAAAAATAAAAGAAAAAAAGGAACCTGTGTTTGCCAAGGAAAGACCAACTTAAATCTTCAAGCTTGACATACACCTCTCCATGTTATTCATTTTAGTCCATGTTACTCATTTTAGGGCAGTGGTTTTCAACCTTTTTTCATTTGTGGACCCCTAATAAATTTCAAATGGAGGTTAGGGCCCCTCTGAATTGTAAGTGTGGTTATTCACATACTTTTGACTGATAATAGTCATCTTTTGCAGACCCTTTGGACAGGTTGAAAACCATTGTTTTAGGGTGTAGTATTACAGACAACATACCTGTGGGTTTACATCCAAGATGCATGTCCTTCCAGTCTGAACCACTTCAAGGATAGAATCTATTTTGGTGCCATAAAGGTTCCCTTCATATTCTCCATGTTCTAAGTACCTGCCAGCTTTAATATCAACCTCCATTTCAGCTCGTGACACAAACCTGTATGCTTGCCCATCTTTTTCATCATCTCTTGGCTTTCGTGAAGTAACTAAACATCAAATTGTTAACAAATCACAAACTAGATATAGAAAACTACAATATGCAGTACATAAACACTTAGATTAGATTTACTGTTAAGTTACTGTATATTTGTATAGACTCAAGCTTAAAATCTCTTAATACAACCCTGCCTATTCCATCTGTTTTTATTCTCTAATCCCACATTTTATCCTACTTTATCTACCCTGTTATTTGCCTATTTCTTCTCCATCATTAGATCTTATTCATTCCTTATTCTATATTTTTTCATTTTTCCCCTTTACCAAACAATAGATAAAATTTCAAAAGCACTTAAAGGGACATAAAAGTCAATAGAACCTATGCTCTTACATGCCAAAGTCACTTCTGAAAATAAAATGTTTGCAATCTCCAACCTTTCCATCCAATCCCTAAATGGTTGTTTCGCTCTAAAATACTCAGGGCCTATCTATATTGTACCCGTAGTGAAGTGAAGAGTTACCTTACGCTCACTTGGGAACTGGAACTAGACTAACCATGGAAGCGCAGAGCTCAATACTTGCTTAGTTACCCTGCTGCTTAGAGTAATTTGTCACTTCTCAGCAAGTGACTAACAAACAAACATAAAATATTTTATCATAATTTGCATCTTCATCATTATGGAGAACTGTACATTTCACCATGACGCACCATATGCTGTTGTGATGTTACTATTTAGATTTGCTTAGCATCAAAGAGCTCTAGTCGCAAATGCAGCCTAAACAATGGTATCAAATCCTACAATAATTAATAGGATAAAAAAGCACAGATGGACTATATAATTAAGCTGAATAGTCTGAAATAACAGTTCAAAAGTAAGCAATAACATACACTGTATCTATGACAGGCCTATAAATTCTGCAGTCTGCATTGGGGGAAAGGTTGACATGGTACTGCTTTCAAGTGGATCCTAACTCAATGCCAAGCATCTAAATATGTACATATTCCAAAAGAATGGAAATCAATATTGACAATATTTGAGAATAAGAGTACATCACCTTAACAAAAAAAATCTTTCATGAAAAAATGAATAAAGTTTATTACTTAAAGAAACTGAGTGGCCTCTCTAAAGCTATTCCTCCTTTCAAATAGGAATATATGTTTGGTTCTGTTTATATGCACACACACTTCTATCTATCTATAACCATATATACAAATAATACTGTATACACAGTTATTATTTATCTTTAGACAAATTACTATGTTAGCTTGGTTAAACAGATTTAAACTTCACATTTTTGGTAGTATGTTGCTTAGCTATAACTTGCTTTTAATAGGAACCACACTATTTATGCCTGGTGTAGTGCCCGAAGACTGGAAGAAGGCCAATGTGGTGCCTATCTTCAAGAAAGGGAGGAAAGTGGATCCGGCTAACTATAGGCCCATTAGCCTGACTTCTATCCCGGGGAAGATCTTAGAAAAGTTTATTAAAGAGGCCATCCTAAATGGACTGGCTGACGCCAACATCTTAAGGGATAGCCAGCACGGGTTTGTTGCGGGTAGGTCTTGCTTGACCAATCTCATTTCCTTCTACGACCAGGTGACCTATCACCTGGACAAGGGAGAAGAGATTGATGTCATATATCTTGACTTCAAAAAAGCCTTCGATCTGGTTTCCCATGATCACCTCTTGGAGAAACTGGCCAATTGTCACCTTGGGTCCTCCACGATCCACTGGCTGGAAAATTGGCTCCAGGGTCGGACCCAGAGGGTAGTAATCGATGGAAGTCACTCATCGTGGTGTCCTGTGACCAGTGGGGTCCCCCAAGGCTCTGTCCTTGGACCCATACTGTTCAACATCTTCATTAATGATGTGGACACTGGAGTCAGAAGCGATCAGAACTGGCCAAGTTCGCCGATGACACCAACCTCTGGGGCAAAGCATCCACACCAGAAGACAGGCAGGTTATCCAGGCTGACCTGGACAGGCTCAGCAAGTGGGCGGACGAGAATCGGATGGTGTTCAA